GGCTGTAGCCGAGCGTTTCGGAAGCCCTTTGGGCGACCCGTGTGCATTCTCGGGCGGTCTGGGGCCCGTCAGGGGGAACACCTAAAGCAATCCTGGGCCATTTGGGTGGCTGGCTGGGGCCGTCTTCTGGGCTCTGGAGGGGGGGGGGGGGGCGGCGTGGGGGGGGTCTAGAAATCTGTGGGGGCCTACGGGCGTAATTTGATATGACGAAAGAAGGGGCCGTTCCCTTCGGGCTTCGCGGAGCCTATTCCCCGACTGGGGGGGGGCTGAGGCGCCATGGCCCGGTGGGGTTGGGGATAGGTTGCACGTCGGTCTGGAGAAGTAGGCAGAAACATGCAGTATGAAGGCGGAAAACGTAGACTGGGTCCAGGCCCTTCCAGAGAATACCACAACACAGCAAAAGCACATCGACTCTTGAAGTATGGGAGGGCGCTGGAGGTAGATTGGGATCAGGGACTCCAGGAATACCTACTTTCAACGACCGATGTGTCAACGTTCCTGGGTGTAGGGTTAGGTCCAGCGTGTCCTCCTACAGGCGGATTTTGGGCGAACAAAGAAAGAATATACCAAACATACTCTCAAACTGCCCCCAAAAAATAATCCAAAAATCGTCCCCAGACTATCTTTTTATAATTTTTTGAATATTCCCCCTGTAGAGGGACAGGCCCGACGTCAGTGTAAGGAAGGCCCTTCCCGATCTCCCCCTCGCTTCCCAGAGCCCTGCCGCGCATCGCGTGGGGGAGCACCGGCCTCTCCACGCGGCGTCGCAGCTCCCGTCGGGGATCTTCTGACCCGGGTCAATCCAGACCCGGGTCAGTCAGGCCTTGCAGACTCCTGCAAGATCCTGCGCATGCACCCTAACCCGGGTCAACGCGCAGGATCCTGCACGATCCGGCAGGATCCTGCACCCAAGCCATGGTCGATGCGACCCTGCCCCTGCAGGACTCTGCAAGATCGGGGCGCTCTGGCTGACCCCCGCTTGCATCGACTCCCGTCTCAAGGCTCCCGATCCCGCGGCGGCCCTCCCTTCCCGGCCTGCACGGCCGCGGGCGCGGGCGCGGGGCCCTCAGCCCGGCGCTCGGCTACTCGAGCTTGTCGACGCTCCTCGGGGCAGCGCACCCGCGCCCGCGCGCGCGCGAGCGCGAGCGCGACCTCGGGGCGGACGGCGCTTCGAGAGATCGAGTCGGCGCTGGGCAAACCTCCCTTTCGTAAACCTCCCTTTAGTGAAAACGGCCTGGGACCGAAACCGACGGACCGGGGCCCGCAAAAACGACGGCCGCGACGCCCTCTCGCGAACCGAAAACGGCCAATTCGCTAATCAACGTGTCAGGGTAGGAGGTCTGTCAACCTCCGATGGAGGGGGGGGGGACGAGCTAGGGGGGTGAAGCGTCGACCTGGACTTGGCGACACATCGCAGACAGATCGGCGACGATCCGAAAGGCCCCGGGCGGGGTGGGCTGCCGGGCTCCCCTCGGCAAGCAGCGGGCGACTGCAGGGGCCGCTGCATCCCCCTGGGCCCATCCCCTGCGGTGATCCTCGTCGTCCGGCTTTCGGGTCATAGCTCGGGCCTCCGGCGGCCGCTCGGGACGATCCAGGTACCCCCCGGCACGCCCTCGGCGAGGTGCAGCTGCTTCACAGGAGCCCGAGACTGGAAACACCGCTGGGGATTAGCGAGAACCAGTGAAAGCCTCGAGCATGGAACCCCAAACCTAGAACCTCGAATTAGGTCGGGCATGTCCCCCTACAGGCGGATTTGGGGCGAACAGTTAAAACATATGATATAAACACGCCCAAAAGGCCGAACAAATAGTCAGTCCTCCTGTAGAGGGACTGACAAACCCGACTTCCACCTAGAACCTCAAGCCCCGAACCCCGAACCCCGAACCTCGCACCCCGAACCTCGAATCTCGAACCTCGAACCTCGAACCCCGAACCGCACATCGAATATCGAACCTCAAACCTCGAACCTCGAGCCCCGAGCCCCGAGCCCCGAACCTCGAAGCTAGCACCTCGAGCCTCGAGAGCCCGTCGCCCGCGACCGCTGCCCCCGAGAGCCGCAGCCGCGGCGCCGCTGGCGTCGGCGCGCCGCGACGCCGCGGAGCCTACCCTTAGGTCGGGCGTGTCCCCCGACAGGCGGATATTGGACGAAGAATTAAAAGTACCACAACAGTGCGCCCCAAATGCTCAATTTCTTATATATATATAGAGATATATATATATATACATAATATATATATATATATATATATATATTTAAAAAAAAGAAAAAAAAAAAAAGAGAAACAATCCCCAGACGATTTTTTCTATTTTTGAATCTCCTCCTGTAGAGGGACACGCCTGACTCGAGCCCACGCCCCCTCGGACGTGGCCCCCCGGGACTTCCAGGCGAACGGCGCTCCCGAGGAGAGCCGCGGCAGAAGCCCCCGCGCCGACGACGACGACGACGCCGACGACGACGAGGACGAGGACGAGGACGAAGACGAAGACGAGGACGACGACGACGACGCCGACGACGACGAGGACGAGGACGAGGACGAGCACGAGGACGAGGACGACGACGACACGACGACGACGACTTCGACGACGCCGACGCCGACGCCGACGACGGCGCTGGCGCTCCCGAGGGGGGGCGCGCCAGAGGCCCCCGAGAGGCGTGGCCCCGCCCGAGAGGCCCCAGGGGCTGCCGCGCGCGCGAGGCTCCACGGGCCGGTGCGCAGCGGCGGAGGCAGCTCGGGGGCGGCTCGCCCAGGGGCGGGCAGTACACGTCGTTCACTTCTAATCGTGCTCATTTCTACTTGTGCTCGTTTCTGATTGTTTCTGGCTGGCCCCCTAGTGGCCAGGAAGAGGCCCAGGATGGAACAATTAGAGATGAGAGGATCTTGGCCCCCCAAAAATCAAGGAATTTTCGAAGGATTAAAAATGAGCAATGTGTGCACGTCCAGCCGAAGAGGCGATTCATAGTAGAAGAGGAAAAGACGCCACAAACATAAGCTTCTGGTGCTCCGCGCGGATGTCTTGGATCCGCGCCAGGCCCCCTTCCCTGGCGCGCTCCGCGCGCCAGGGGCTGCGCTGGAGGTGCCGCCACGGGGGCCCAGCGCGGATCCAAGAAATCCGCGCGGCGCGCTCAAAGTTTCTGTTCATGGCGTTTTTCCTCTTCGGCAAGGGAGAGCTAGGGGCTGAGAAGCTTGGGCCAGGTTCCCGAATTGTCTTAAACTAAGCCAGGGCCAATTATTGTTGGTGAATGCTGCAGGGGCGACCGTGCTTCCGGCAAGCTTGCTGAGAAACGCCGGCCCAGCTGATCGGGTGGAGGTGTCTTAATCAGATGATCGACCGTAAATCACCGGGCAGCCCCGCCCAAGACATGGGGCGTCGGCGCCCCTGGATGCAAGTATTGCCCCGCCCACCCCCCCGGGCCCTGGGCTATTCGCCCCTATCGTCGCCTCCGAGCGGCGGCGGCAGAAGCCGACGCAGCGCCAGCTGCACCGACGCGCAACTGCCGGCGGCCGCAGAAACAGCCTGACACACAGATGGTCGGTTGAACCCAAGGGTGCTGCCGTCTCTTTGGGGGGGGGGGCGGGGGGCGCACCTCGTACGTCCGCCCCCTTCCGCCGACGCACCCTCGCCGTTCTGCTTCCGCCTTCTTCCGCCTTGGAAGAGATGCCAACTCCTTCGATCCCTCGAAGCCGAGGCCCTGTCTGGAGCGCGCCAAGCGGCACTCACACCGGCAGCGGCACCGGCAGTCCCGCAAACTCTGACAAGAGCACGAGCAGCGGCAAGCGGGACCACAGGGGACAGGCACGGCACGAGCGAGAGGGCACCAGGTTGGACACCAAGACTGACAGAAACATGCAGCAGGCACCTTCGGTCGTAAAGCCACGGGCGCCTCTCTTCTCGACTCTGAGCCGCGCAGGGTGCCCCAGGGCTCCGCGGGCCGATAAGGAGGCAAGACACTGCCGTGGGGCACTCGTTGACGGCCCGGTTTCTCACTTGGTGCGCCTGCTGGGGTGGCAAGCAGACGAGCAATGAGAAGACGACGGGCCGATGAATGCGGTTATTTCTCACGCTCGCCGTGCGTGCACTTCGCCCCTACTCCGTGCGCTGCGCGCAAGACGCAAGTTACTGCTGGTGTAATACACGCTGTCCTCCAATGCCGCCGGGAACGAGGAGGGGGAGGAGGAGGGGGAGGAGGAGGAGGAGGAGGAGGAGGAGGAGGAGGAGGAGGAGGAGGAGGAGGAGGAGGATCACGCGGTGGAGGACAAGAAGGATCGGCGGCGCGCTCGGGGGGGAAGGCAGAGGGGGTGGGTCTTCTTAGAAGGCTCGGAAGGCCTCCGGCCCTCTGCCAAGCTTGATCCGGCGGCCTGCCCTCTCTCGCTTCCCCCCTCAGCGCGCCGCCGAAATGAGGAGGATGAGGAGGATCAGGCGGAGGACGAGGAGGACAAGGAGGAGGACGAGGAGGAGGTGGAGGAGGAGGAGGAGGAGGAGGAGGACCAGTGTACACCCAGTGTGCACCCAAGAGGGCCGGTGTCGGGATAAACCCTCCCTGCGAGCTCCCGCTTCATAGGCCCCCACAACGCATCATTTCCACTGATGGAACTGCCTCGTTGGAAGACAACTGTTTGAAGAGCCTGAAGCGTGCCAACGCATTGTTCTCGGGACTCCAAAGCCACGGATCAACATGACTGTTGCGTCTTGACGTTTCTGAATCGTGCCAGAACGCCGTCCCTGGGACTTCAACACTGCGAATCAACGTAACTGTTGCACCCTCATAATCCTGAATCTTTCCAAAACACCATTTCTGGTACGCTGACCATGAGAACCTGCGAAACTCTTGCATTTTGAAAAAAAAAAAAAACGCCAATTTCAAAGCTCAAGAGCCATACATGCTGAGGACGTCTCAGGCGGAACGCCCTGCCCGCCCTTTCGACCGGCCTGGGGGTGCGGCATGCAGAAATTATTCGCAAGGAAAAAGAATGGAGGAGGAGGAGGAGCAAGGAGGAGTAGGAGGGGGGGGAGGACGCAGAGGAGCGATGAGGGAGAGGGAGGAGAAGGGGCAAGGAGAAGCGCGTGATGAACGAACGAGAGGGGAGGGGGCGGCGAGGCCATGGGCAAGAGGCATGAGCCCTGGCAGGAGCGAAAGCAGCCCGCTCCCCAGGTCACGAGTGAGTCACGACGTCCAGCGAGAACGTGAGCAGCAGACCGACGTACAGCCAGATGCTGACGTGCCAGGCGTCGGTCGCCTCTTGGAACTAGAGGAAGAGAAAGCCAGATAAACATAAACTTTTGGCGCTCCGCGCGGATTTCTTGGATCCGCGCCGGACCCCCCTTCCCTGGCGCGCGGAGTGCGCCAGGGACGGCGCCAGAGGCGCCGCTAGGGGGGCCCAGCGCGGATCCAAGGAATCCGCGCGGAGCGTTAAGTCGGGCGTGTCCTCCTACAAGCGGACTTTGAACGAAAAAATAACACAGCCAAACAATATTCAAACATAGTTAAACAAAAATCAGAGAATCGTCCCCATACTATTTTTGACTATTTTTGTATATTCCTCACGTGGAGGGACAAGCCCGACTTCAGCGGAGCGCCAGAAGTGTATGTTTGTTTGGTTTTTCCTCCTTCGAGGAACGCCCTGGACGGCCGACTGCGGAGACCCTAAAGCCCAAAGCGTTGGCATCCCTCGGGGGGCATCCTTGTGTTCCTTCCGCCAGCCGCCGCAGCCGACCTGTTCCGCCGGCGCAGGCCCCTGGTTTGCTTCCGCCCGCTTCCGCGCTGGCATTCCTGCGAGGAGCTATCAACCTCTACTCCAAATCCCTTATGAATCGTCCCCCGGGTCTGGTTTGCATCCCTCGGGGGGCATCATTGTTCCTTCCGCCGGCCGCCGCCGCCGACCTGTTCCGCCGGCGCAGGCCCCTGGTTTGCTTCCGCCCGCTTCCGCGCTGGCCTTCCTGCGAGAAAGAGCTATCCACCTGAGTTAGGTCGGGCGTGTCCCCCTACAGGCGGATTTTGGACGACACCTCAAAAATACCCCAGAAATGCGCACAACTATTCAAACACAGTCAAACAAATCGTCCCCAGACTATTGTTTGACTATTCTTGAACATTCCTCCTCTAGAGGGACAGGCCCAACTTAACTCTAGAGCCCCCGAAGGCGAATACTTTTCTGGAGCGCCCCAGGTGGGTACGGCAAGTTCGCGTCGTGTCGACCCCGGCGTTGGTTCCTGACACCGCGGGGATCGTTCAAACTTCAACGATCGGCCCTTTCAAAAAGGCCGGATCGTTCAAGGATGGGCCGATTCTGGGCCACAGGCGGCGCTCAAGCTTAAACACGCGCGCTGGAGTCGCCGCCAGTCGACATGACGCGAACCTGCCGTACGGGAAAAACTGGTCCGATGGCCAAGACCAGCGGCGACCCCAGCGCGGGCGTTTAAGGTTAAGTCGGGCGTGTCCTCCTACAGGCGGATTTTGCACGAAAAATTAAAAATACCCTGCAACTATTCAAAAGTAGTCAAAGCATATTTAAAAAAGATCGTTCCCATACGATTTTTACGTGTTTTGAATGCTCCTCCTGGAGAGGGACAGGCCCGACTTCAGTCTGATGGCCAAGACCGGCGGCGACCGCCCGCGCGGGCGTCTCAGGTTGAGACCGCCGCCTGTGGCCCAGAATGGGCCCATCCTTGAACGATCTGGCCTTCTCGAGAGGGCCGATCCTCTTCCAGCTGGAACGACCCCCGCGGCGTCGGGAGCCAACGACTCGAGCCTGCCGCACGGGAAAGCTTGGTCTGATGGCCAGCGGTGCGAGGCAGGGATTTATATCCATGTCCACCGCCTGGGAACCGACGTCCTGGTGCCCGGCGGGCGGCGGAGACGGACATGTTTTGGCCCCCGAGGGCCCGAACGTGTCCATATCCACCGCCTGTGGAGGTCCGCGAGGATCGATCCCCCGGGCGGTCGATATGGAGAAATCTCGGCGGTGGACAAACCTCCCTTTTGAGTGAAAACGGCCTATGGAACCGAAACCGACGGACCTGAACCGGCAAAAACGACGGCCGCGACGCCCTCTCGCGAACCGACAACGGCAAATTCCTCAATCGACGTGTCGGGGTAGGTCTGCCCACCCCCGACGGCGGCGGGCCGGGCTCCGCACGGGCGGGGTCGGCTGCTGTGGGCATCGCGACTCACCCATCCCTCCTCCTCCTCCTCCTCCTCCTCCTGCTGCTGCTCCTCCTCCTCCTCCTCCTCCTCCCCTCCTGCTGCTGCGCCTCCTCCTGCTCCTCCTCCTCCTCCTGCTCCTCCTCCTCCTCCTCCTCCTCCTCCTCCTCCTCCTCCTCCTGGGTTAAAAGTGCGTGGTCCGTAAACCTCCTGGGAGCCCCCGAAGCCTAGAGAGCCGCCAGGACGCCGTACGTCACGCAAGGTTTACCCTGTCAGCCCACAGGAGTTTCAGCGCACAGCGCCTCGTAAACCGGGGTAGGGGCGTTTCTTATACCCGTGACTTAGGGTGGGGGGCTCAGGGTGAAACCCAAATGGGCTTTTGCACCTCGAAAATCAATCCGTCTTGTGATTCATCGACTGCAGGATTAAAGCCTCGAAAATCGAAACGGCATTTCAGATTCCACCTTTTGCCCTTCACACCAAGAAGATGCTCTGATGCATGGCGTGTTCCGAAGATCCTGAACACCCCACAACTGGCACCTCTTGGGGGCGCATCCTTCACTCCCGCCGAGATTCCGCCCGCTTCAGCCGGCGGAGAGCCGCCCTCGTTTCAACCCCCCGCCGCCCTCCGCCGGCCTCCCGCCGAGGAAGCTGTGCCAACTCATTTTGATCCTCGAAGGCGCGGCCATTTCTCACATCGAGGATCAAAATTAGTCGGTTGGATGTGCCTTAGGGTCACCTTAGGATCAAAGCCTTTCTAACATCGAGGATCAAATCGAAGTTAGTCCGAAATTTCTAACTAATTTTGCCACATCGAGCCCCTCCGACACTCTCCCGGTCGGGCCTCACGGGGCCCGGGCTCGGGCCTCTGGCGGCCGCTCTCGGGGCTATATCCGATCACCCCCATATATGTGGACCGCCCTGAAGACGAGGCGCGCCCGCAGAGCAGCATCCCCGGGGGTGGGAAACCCTCCGGAGCCGACAGAGACAGCCGAAAGCCTTCGGAGAGGCTACTCCTCTCCGCGCGTCCGCCCCGATCCTGAGCACGGACCGACCGTCCCGACATTCCCATAGGCCTGCCACGAAATGTTCTTAGAACCCAACAGTGTTCTAGTAGCAGCAACAATGTTCTTAAATCATTCCCCCGATGTGTTAAAGCAAAACAATCTCAGCCAGAAATCTTCGGAATAAATATTTCGTGCAAGCCGCAAAAGGATCTTGGGTGGGCCTATAGGCAAGCCAGGACGCTTCGCCACGGTTTGACGATCCTGCTCGAGGGCCTTCTCGTGCGCCTCGAGCAGCAGCTCCTCCACCACCAGGAAGAGTAGCGCCACCAGCGCGAAGGCGATCAGGCCCGCGAACGCTGGCCCGCTCTGCAGGGGCGCGGACCCGGCGGCGGCGACCACCGCCGAAGCTGTCATGGCCGCGGGGGGCAGCCCGAGCAGCGCGACGGTGAGCGGCCTGCGGCTCGACGAAGACGTTTCGGGCGCCCTCCCCTGGGATCCTGGCGTCTGCATGTTTTCACAACGGGCGTCTTCGCTCCATCTCGGGCCCTGGGATCCTCACAGATCGATCCGGCTCGAAAGTGGATGCAAACAGATGGGGTCCGGGGCTCCTGTCGTGACATTCTGCGATGCTGCCATTGTTGTTGCAACGTCGGATCTCAGGGTCGTCGGTTTCCGGGGAGGTTTTCCAGCTCCCAAAGACTGTCCACAGAGGCCTCACACATGCGGTCCGAGTCAATGGGGTCGGTCGGATGATCGCACCTTATCGCCGATGCAACTGCGACATCGGCGTGGAGAAAATCTGGCTGCGCATTGAGCCGCATCGCCGCTGCATCGGCGATGCGGCGCGATCCTCCGACCCCATCTACTTCGACCCCATCTAGGTGGCCTACTCCAAATCCCTTATTGATCGTCCCCTGGGTCCGGTTTTTCAAGGCGCCTTTTTTGTGACTGGGGGGGTCCGGTTTAGTAGGGCGCTTTCTTCGGATTGGAGCCGGGGTCCGGTTTATGGAGGCGCCCCGTCGACGAGGAGGGTCCAGAACATTGGGGCGCAGTTGGAGAGGGGGGTCTGGCTTTTGAGCGGGGGGTCGATGAACAGGGGATTTGGAGTAGACTCCAGCAGCTGCGCCTCGCCGAGAGCGCTCTGGGGGGGCCCAGGTCCCCCGGCCGGCCGCCGGAGAGCCGAGTTGTGGCCCGACGGCTGGGCCTCCGCGGGCCGGTCTTGGCGATGGCGCACGCGAAGGAGTAGCCCAGGAAGCCCATCTCGATCGCGGTGGCCAGCGACATCATCCAGCCGCTGTTCAGCGCCACGGAGCCCGCGAGGCCTATCAGCATGCCGTCGACCATGCTGTCGACGACCACGGCGAAGACCAGGCCCCAGGGCACAGGCGCAGGGAGCACGCTGGCGGTCCCTGGGCTGCCCGCGAGCGAGCTCTGGCCCTGCAACGTCGTCGAGCCCCAGCGGCGGAAGGCGCACTTCGGGTGGTTCGCGTGGATGTGGATCTGGCGCAGCCGTGCCGCGATCACCCCGAGCTGCGAGTCGATGGCGGGCAGGTCTCCAGGGTCCAGCTGCCGTATCCTTCGGCGGTCGGGCATGTCCTCCTACAGGCGGATTTAGGGAGAAAAATTAGCGTGGCGAAAGACCCAACCATATGCAGGTGTGAGAACCGTCATTGTATGCACCGCATTCGGAGGAACTCCCGATGGGGTCACGAAACGTGTGCGGGGTGTGCCGAAATTTGTCCGGTGGGCGCATGCAAACGCAGCCGCTGGGGCCGCCGGTGGAATGGGGTCACGAAACGCGTGAGGAGTGTGCCGAAATGGATGCGGTGAGCGCATGCGAACGCAGCCGTTGGGGCCGTCGGTGGAGCTCCCTGTGGTGCCGCGAAACGTGTGATGAGTGTGACGAAATGGATGCGGTGGGCGCATGCAAACGCAGCCACTGGCGCCTTCGGTGGAGCTCCCTGTGGGGACACGAAACGTGTGAGGCGTGTGCCGACGTGGGCGTGGGTGACGCATGCGGGCGGTGGCACAGGGGCCTTCGGTGGAGCTCCCTAAAACGTGTGAGGTGTGCCGAAATGGGTGTGCGTGACGGATGCGGGCAGTGGTGCGGGGGCCTTCGGTGGAACTCTTCGTGGTGCCACGAAACGTGTGAGGGGTGTGCCGACATGGGTGTGCGTGACGCATGCGGGCGGTGGCACTAGGGCCTTCGGTGGAGCTCCCTAGTGGGCCACGCAGCGTGTGAGGGGTGTGCCGAAATGGGTTGGGTGTGCGTGACGCATGCGGGCGGTGGCACTGGGGCCTTCGGTGGAGCTCCCTGTGGGGCCACAAGGCGTGTGAGGCGTGTGCCGAAATCGGTGTGCGTGACGCATGCGGGCGGTGACACTGGGGCGTTCGGTGCACGAAACGTGTGAGGGGTGTGCCGACATGGGTGTGCGTGACACATGCGGGCGGTGGCACTAGGGCCTTCGGTGGAGCTCCCTATGGGGCCACGACACGTGTGTGAGGAAAGTGCCGAAATGGGTGTACGTGACGCGTGCGGGCGGTGGTACTCGGGCCTTCGGTGGAGCTCGTCATGGGGCCACGCAACGTCTGAGGGGTGTGCCGAAATCGGTGTGCGTGACGCATGCGGGCGGTGGTATTGGGGCCTTCGGTGGAGCTTCCTGTGGGGCACGAAACGTGTGAGGCGTGTGCCGACATGGGCGTGGGTGACGCATGCGGGCGGTGGCACAGGGGCCTTCGGTGGAGCTCCTTGTGGGGCCACGAAACGTGTGAGGGGTGTACCGACATGTGTGCGTGACGCATGCGGGCGGTGGTATTGAGGCCTTCGGTGGAGGTCCCTGTGGGGCCACGGAACGTGTGAGGCGTGTGCCGACATGGGCGTGGGTGACGCATGCGGTCGGTGGCACTGGGGCCCTCGGTGGAGCTCCCTAGACATGTGAGGAGTGTGCCGAATGGGTGTGCGTGACGCATGCGGGCGGTGGTACTGGGTCCTTGGTGGAGCTTCCTGTGGCGTCACGAAACGTGTGAGTGCAGAAACCTCAACTCTCCAAATATCTTCGTATTACTCCCCGAATCTGGAATTACCCGAAGGATCTGTACATCCCCTCTCGGACGCAGCGAGCAGGCGGGAGGCAAAAGCCTTGGCCCTCCACCGCGTCGTTGATAGCCTCGTCGGCGGCGCAGTCCGTCGGCAAACACATCAAACGATCACTGACAGGTCGAACTTCTCGACTGTCGTGGTCGAGTGAAAAGCCAACTCGCGCAGCAAACAAGCAGCTCGCCGCACTCGCCAGCGGCCGAAACCACAGTGAAAAGAAATCTGCTCCGCACCCTGCGTCTTGGGCTCACTTCAGAAGCTTTGAAATAGCTCCTTGCACAAGATCCGTGGAACATCTTACAGCCAAAATGGCATCACTCGGTTTACCGTGAATATTTACCGCGCCCAGCTGAGAGAGCCTCGATCGCCTCCAAAACTCGATGCAACGTGCTCCCAACTTGGACGATCACAAAGCCCATCTTCTCGTAGTGCCGTCTCATCTGTGCCTGGTCAAGTGGCTTGGTGAAGGTATCAGCCGGATTCACATTGCCAGGGATGTGTCTGGTCACAATATTGTTGGCCTTCACCTGGTCCTGGAGCCAAAGGAATCTCGTGTCTGAATGCCTGACCATGCCCAGTCCTTGGCTGTTCGCAAGACCCTCGGCAGCCACTAAGTCACTGCGCAACTCTACCGGCTCCAAGGTCAGGTTGATCGGAGACAGCATGGGCTACATGCCAAGCGCATGCGCCGCGCCCTTCAGCATGGCGTAGTACTCACTTTCTCCACTAGAGAGCCACGCTGGTCTGACTCGTCGAAGCATGCTTGACAAGGTGGGAATCCATCGTCAGCATCGTGCCTGTCAGCATCTACATGCGTGTCCACTCGGTTCATCATGTCCGCTTGCGTCGGGGTCTTCATCTTCTTAGCCAGCGTCGAGGTCGCGCAGCTCAGATCGGGTCGATCTTGACTCAGATAAGCACCTCGCATGACCAACGACCACTACAATGTAGCATCGTTCTCGTAGGGAGGTGGTGACTGCTGAGCTTCAAACATCTCCTTGGCGCTCTTCTTGACCGAGGGCTTCTGGACCGACTGGGCATCGGTCGGGTTCAAGTCTCGAATGGTCATGTCCACGTGCCTGACGTCCGCCTCGATCCGCGCCTCGCCAGCTGTTGGGTCCGAAATCAGAGCCAAGCTGATCTACGAAACGCTCTGAACCATCTCTGATGCTGAGGACAACCTCCCAATCACCTTGTAGTCGTACTTGGTCAACAGTTCGTCAAACCACTCCTCGTCGCTGGCAAACATCAGCACTCCGTAATCATCTCCGCGTGCTTCCAGAAGCACATCGCGCTCTGGGAGCGCCTGGGAGCGCCCGCGAGCGCTTGGGATCGCTTGGGAGCGCCTGGGAGCGCTTGTATGGTTCCATTGACAAGCCCAACCATCGGTTCGACATCACCTTCTCGCTCTTCGGGCGGATGGTCCGCCTAGATCCTACGGGGCGCCTGGCCGTAGAAGTGCGCCCAGCTCACGTCGTCGAACTCGCGCGCGACATCTCTCGGCAATGCGCTGCGATGCTGCTCGCGCGTCCTTCTCGCGAACAAGCTAACCAGCGCCTTGAACGCCTCCAACGGCGGCGTGCCCGAGAAAAGGTCCGTCGCCAGAGGAAGCAGACCTTCGGCGCGCCGTCGCATCTCCAACTCTCTCGCCACCAACCTCGAGCCGCGCAGTGGCCGCTCCTGGTCCCCCTTGCTGGTGCCCGTCCACCGCGTGTCGATCGGTCGACACCCCTCCAACTCCATTTCGCGTCTGGGTTCTTTGGTCCAGACGTCTCGACTCCTTCGCCACTCCAACTCTTCGCGCCTCGACCCTCTCGCGCGCTGTGCGTCCAGCAAGCCGCCGGGCACAACGTCCACGCGCGCTTCTGCCTCCTGGTCGGAATCCTCTTCGCGCGGCGAAGGTCCGGCAGTGGAGCCAGCCAGCTCGCTCAGCGACTCTCGCAGCCGAAGCTCTTCGCGAAGTCCCTTCAGGATCGCCTACGCCAGCTGCTTGGGGCACATCTGTGCTGCCCGCGCTCCTATGTCTCCAATAAAGTGCATGTCGGTGCGGCTCTCCACCTTCCCGAGGACCTTGGCACTCGCCCTCCAGGGGCTCAGCCAAGATTTTCGGATCCGCCATCCAGCTAGTCTCCTTGCGGACAAACGCCATGCGCCGATCGGGTCGATGGGGCTGTAGGCCCGATCGGCGCATGGGACCTCGCACCACGTAAACCCCAGGTACAGCACGAACGCGCCGCACGCAGGGTCGATCCCATGATGAGGCCGCCCACGGTTGTCCGCGAAGAAAAAGAACATCTCGTCGATACCTTCTGTCGTATACTTGCATGGAGAACCCCAGGCGCGCCTCGCCCTCTAGGACCTCCTGCGCCACGACCTGTGGATCCCGCTTGTTGCTGCTCAGCGCTCGGAGCAAGTAGATGATGGTAAAGGGAGCCGATGCCGTCGTAAGTAACGGGTCTTCCCGATCCAACTGATCCATGCACTCTCTGCGCTGCGATTCCTCTAGTAAGTCCCACCCAGTGGCGGGGTTGCTGCGAGCCCGGCCGCCGGGCCAAGCCCAAACGCCCTCCGCTTGAACCGCTCGGGGGTGTAGATCTCCGCAAGGTCACCTCCGTTCATCTCGGTTAACGTCTTCGCTACTTCCTTCAGCTCGTCGCGAGTCACCTCGTTGTCGCCGAGCACGTCTGTGGCGCTCACCAGCGCCGAGATCTCCCGGTACTTCTAGCCCTTGACCACGTCGGAAGAGCCCAGATCCATGTTGCTGCCCACTGACACCGCCGGCCTGGTCAGGTCCCCCATATCACCTGAACATCCAGCCCCTCCGGACTTGAGGCTGCAGCCACTGCGCCTGAACTGCTGGATGCTGCTCCAACTCCTGCCTGCCGCGGCGCGTCCGCCGCTGGCTCGCCGTCCACGGCCATCCTGACCTGGCCCGGCTCTGCACTCGCTGCCCGCCTCCTACCTGGCGTCGAAGCGGCTCGTGGCTGAACTGGTCGCTCTCGCCCTCGCCGCTCACTCGCAACTCGCCTGCGAACTCCCATGGGCTCCGCGTCCATCCTGCGCAGGCCCACTCCGCCTTCAGCTGCTGCCCGAACTGGCGCAGCTAGAACGGGCAATGGCCCGGCTCCTTCCGCGACCCTTCCGCCGCCCACGGCGGCCGCGCCCGCTGGCGCACCCTGTCCTGCACCGCCTTCCTGCGCTTCTCCTCGAGCACCCGTGCGAAGATGGTGCTCCGCCAGTCGAACACGACCGGCCTCGTCCTTCACCATCTCCTTTGCGACTCGGTCTTGGCACTCCTGGGAATGAGCCGCCCTCGCCGAGCCACCGGCCATCAAACAGCCCAGGCATCCAGGCGCCTGGCCGTGCTCGTCGATGTCCTTCTTCAGCGCGAAGCGCTTCCTGATGGCCATGTCGCGCCCCTCTCGTCTTCGAGTAGACAGATGCGAAGGCCCGCGAGGACTTGCTGGCTCAACGTCTGGCGAGACTTACCTAGGCAAACCTTCAGCTGGCCCCAGTCCTCGACTGCCCACTCCTGGGCCTCGGGCAACCGCATGAAGTCTTGAGCTCTGACAGCGCGCGAGAGCGCCGTGATAGGCAATGCTCCAGTCCTCGGATGGTATCCCGCGAAATGTCCAGGAGGTACCTTGGGTGCCAGGGTACTGCGAGCATCTCCTATACCAAGGAGCCAGTAGAACGCGCGCCCCCAAAACTACGCCACGAACTTCTTCCAAGGTCGCCCGCCCCCCCTTGCCTCGCCGGCCAAGCCAGCGACGCCGATTCTGAGCGCGGTGATCTCACCACCTGCGAACCGAGGAGGCCACCTGATGATCGGATGGTCCACGGCAATATTTAATCCGAGGGCGCGCTGCAGAGCAAAAAAATTCGCCCCGATATTCCGCTTCACCTTCTTGACCGTCCGCCCCGCGTCTCCGTCGCTCTTGCGTTCGCCCTTGGGAGACTCCGCCGGCGCGCGCTCGACCTGCGCGCCCGCTGCATCTATCGCAGCACTCTTGACCGCGCAGACGCTCGCCTCGCCGTCAGACTTAAACTGGGCGCGCCGGCGCCCCAGGTGCTTGAGAAAGCCCGTGGGCCACTTGACAACGAAATCCGACGCAGTTATGTCCTTCGCGGCCGTCGCGCCCTTCGCCGCCACCGAGGCGGGGATGGAGTCTGGATCCTCGACGTTGTTCACCGACGAACGCAATGTCGACGCTGGCCACTGAATCCTCGCTCTCTCGATCCGGGCGAGAAGCAGCATGCCCGCGCGCGATGTGTTTCTCCATCTCCGTCTGGCTCGGTCCTCTGAAAATTTGCTTCGCGCGAGGCGGCGCCGCCTCGGGCGCCTGCAACTCCTCGCGGCCCTCGTCAGGCCTCGCAACTGGCGCCGGGCCCTGGCCCCCAGCCAATTCGCCAGGCGCGCCCGGTCTCGCGGGCGAGGGCCGGACGGGACCCGTCGCCGAACGGGCAGAGATCGCCTCCGGCTCCTGGCGCGCACCCGAACCGAACTCTACGTTCACCGCTCGCAGCTCCTTCTTCCGTCTTAGCGTAGCCGACGTACGCGCCGTTCTCCGCGCGCAGGGGGGCGGCGCCCCCCTCGTGCCAAACCGCCTCCTCGATCATCTCGTCGACAGGCCCGGCGATGTCTGAGTTGCCCGGCAGGCTGTGCCCGCCGTCTCTCGTCAACCAGGTCGCTCTCCCAGCGCCGTGTACTTGGCTCGCTGACACAAGCGGCTTGAAAATATCTGCTCGCCCCACTCCGACTGACATTCGGCTCTGATGCCGCCGCCGTCGGGGACGATCTCGCCCGAGGCCGTTCTGCGCCTCGTGCACGAGTCCGCCGCGCTCCTCTGCCCTTTTGCATCGACAGGGGAAGTCGTCGCGGCAACTCCTGAATCGAATGTGAATGCGCATCGCCCTCCTTGCTCCTTCCGGGCGCTTGCGCTGTTGAGCTCCATCCAGCGCGCAAGCCTCGAAGCTTCCAGACTCCCGACTCATCGCCCCAACTTGGCTCGCTGATGGTGGTGGCGACGACTGGTCATCATTCCAGTCCAGCTCTCTCGCGGGGCTGCCAGCTTGACTCCCGCCCTGGTCGAACGCGTTGGAGTCCCAGTTGCCGCCTCTGTACTTGCCACCCCCTTGATCTGACCTTTGCCTTCGCCGTTATGATCCTTACCTTTGCCGCTCATGCCATTATTATTGCTGCCCGTGCCGTCGGCCAGCGTCGCGCGGCAGTCGCTGGGCTCGTGCCCAGGTAGGCCGCATCTCCAACAAGTATGACTCCGACCGATGTCTTGACCTTTGCCTTTGGGATCGTGTCCTTTGCCTTCCCCACCTTGAGCTTTACCTTTCGCGTGTCCAGCTCCTCCGTGCAATTGGTCCATCATCGGGTCGTTCTTCTGCTTCCGCTTGAACGCTGCCTGCGACTATCTCGACTCCAGGAAGCTCCTGATGTCCTCCGTCACCATCTCGGTCGAGTCAAGCCACGTCTTGCTCATCTCCAAATGAAGCTCGAACTCCTCTGGAACCATCGCCCTTAACGCTGCCACCTTCACATCGAAGTCAACCTTTTTGTCCAACCCGTCGGACCTCTGCTTCTCGCACCGTTTAACTAGTTCCTCTCATTCCCCGAGCTTCGCGTGTAACTCGGCCAGGGTCGCCCGCTGCGGGCTCATGATTCATGATCAGCTTGATTTGTAACGGTCATGTTCTTCCTGAAGATGGTTCCCATCGTCTGAGCAACTTCCTGATCGCCTCGACGCCGTTACCCTTGAGAGTGTTAAGCACAATTCAGAAACTCTCGCCTTCCGTCAAAGTCTCTATGGCAACGTACAACTGGCGAACCTTCTCCTTCCAGCCGGGTATGTCGTCATTCTCATCAGCCTCATCTCCGATCTGGTCCTCTAGCGCTTGCATCGTGATCGTCGGCGTCGGGTCCTGCGCCTGATCCTCGACCCACTCCAGGAGTCCTCTGAATTGCTCACCGAAGGTCGCGGTGAGATACGCACACGTCTTTCGGTACCACTCCACAAACCTGCTTCTGTCATTCTTGAAGATCGCGGGCTTGCCCAACCCCTTGGTATCTACTAGGGGAAATCCGCCCGACTTGTCCTTCGCAGCGCTCGCCTCCGCCTATTTCTGCACTGCATCTCCTAGCTGCTGAGTCAGCCTGGGCAAATCTCCTTGTACCTGCTGCTGGCGTTGAACCTCCTGCTGGAACTGCTGTTGCTGCAACTGCAGCTGTTGGTTCAAGTATTTTTTCTGAACTACCAGCTGATCCGCTTGTCGCTGCAGGTTAGCGAAGGCGGCGCGGTCCTGCCCGTTCGTTAGGTACAGTTGAGGTACTGGCCACGATTGGCCCACAACTTCTTCAGCCTCTGCACCCTCCAGAACGCCAGTAGTAGCCACCTCCGCGCCGGTGCCGCTCCTGCCCAGCGCCTGCTGCGCCTGGCTCGTTGGTCAAGCTCGTCGTTGACCTCAATCGTCTCCCAATCGTCCTGTGTCGCCGCCGAAGCTCGCGATGGCGGGCGGCGATATGGGCCGGTCTCTCGGCCCGAGGGTGCCGAAGGCAGGGAACCTCGCTGCGCTACCATGCAGACACCTTTTGCCACACATGGGCTGCGGAACAACGCTGCAACAATCTCAACTATCCAAATCTCCTCTCACTAGTCTCCTACTTTGAAATTATCCGAAGGATCTTTGCAGTGAGGGGTTTGCCGAAATCGGTGTGCGTGACGCATGCGGGCGGTGGCACTTGGGCCTTCGGTGGAGCTCCCTGTGGGGCCACGAACTGTGTGAGGGGTGTGCCGCATTGGGCGTGCGTGGCGCACGCGGGCGGTGCAGGGAGGAAGGGAGGAGGAAGGAGGGAAGGATGGAGGGGAGGAGGGAAGGCGGGGAGCGTCTCTTCAAAACGAGAACCCAACACAACAGGACGGTTGGGAATTAGGGGTCGGCAAAACATATTCAACCAGAGTAAAGCATGCAAAATCGTCCCCTTATCATTTTTTGACTATTTTTGAATTGTCCTCGTGTGGAAGGACACGCCCGACTTAACCGCATCCTGGCGATGTCGTCGGCCAGAGCCGCCGCGCGGGCGAGGAGCCGCGGGACGTCGCCGACGTCGATGCTGCCCTCCCCGCGGCAGCGGCGGCGCACGCAGTCTACAAGGAAGTCCGCGTGGTGCACCTCCTCGTCGATGGCCTCCCGCTATGTTGATCCCATCGTACTTCCCAAACCCTCTCGAGTCATGAACAAATCACGACGGGAGGTTTTTAACTATTTTCGGCCTCCGGGGGCCCTTACCGGCCCTCGGGACTGTCAAAACATGATTCAGGATGACAAACTGGTCCGGGCGAATAGGTCCGGAACTCTGGGGGTCGCGTAATGGACCATATCCTATAGGACGCACAAGGACATTCTAATACTATATGTCCTGCTTGGAAGCGCGCGTCCGACCCGAACACATAGTATATCCATCTTGTAGTATATCTTTTCCCGAGCGGTGTGGCCAGAAAGTGCCCTCCACGACGCATATACTATAAGATTTCTCGGTGCGCGCGTCGCCCCTGTGGGGGGCGGCGCACACATAGTAGAAGTATGTTGGGGTGACGCCGATCCCAGAAATAATTTCGAGCACCCAGGGGGAAAAAAAAAAACGACACAATATCGTAACGAGTAGCGCCTCCCAGGGCCCGGCACGTGAACATCCTCAAGCTTCGGTGCTTCCTTGGTGCTCGAAGTTCTTTCTGGCGGTCAAAGCTAAAATCGGGGTCCACCAAGGGGGGGGGGACCCTGAGGGGAGGGGGAGTTCGATCCGCTGGTGCATCGAATTTCCAAAAACACGATGCCCCCAGGGCGCCCCGATTGTCAACGCCTCTCGGGTTCCGGCGGCGGCCGGAGACCTCGTTTTGCATTGATTTTCTGCGGTTCGATGCGCCAACGGGCCGAACTCCCCCCCCCTGTGGCCACCCCCCTTTGCGAGGTTCCGATAAAAGAAGGTTGGAACATCATAAGCCTCCCGGTCCACGTGGTCCAGGTTGGCGAGCTGCTCCAGGTTCGCTGTGCGCGCGGCCAGCGTCTCGATGGCCCTCTTAGAGGCCTCCTAGATGTGGTCCGAGTAGATGGAGTCGAAGGATCGCGCCGCATCGCCAATGCATCGCCAATGCATCGGCGATGCATCGGCAATGCATCGTCGACGTCGCCGATGAAGCGACGACGTCGGCGTGGAGAAAACCTGGCTCCGCATCGAGCCGCATCGTCGATGCGTGGACGATGCGGCGCGATCCTCCGACCCCCTCTGCTGCGACCCCATCTGGGAGGCCTGGACCTCTGGAGCCCGCGGTCGGGGCCGCGCTCCGCGCCTGCGCCCTGGCCCCGGTCCAGCAGCGGGCGCCGCAGGGGGCCCTCCGAGGCGCCGGACTCCTGCCGCTCGCTGGCGGCGGCGCTCCCGGCGGCAGCCCCGCACGCGGTGCCGTCGCACTCGCCTTAGGTCAGGCGTGTCCTCCTACGGGCGGAGTTTGTATACATATATATCTATATATGTATATATATATGTATATATATACATATAGCTATATATACAGTATATATATGTATATATGTATATAGACATATATATACATATATATATACATCTGTATATATACACATGAGAGAGAGGTACAAACACAAATGCTCAGAAATGGTCCTCCTACGGGCGGAGTTTGTATACATTTATATGTACCGCATAGACCACCCTTCGGGTGATAAGGAGGTGAGGGGGGGGGACCACCGTCGCACTCGATGGATCTCACTATCGATCTCACTATCGATCCCAATATCGATCTCATTCGATCGATCGCACAATCGATCTGGCGATCGATCTCGCAATCGATATCACTATCGATCTCACGATCGATCTCACTATCGGTCTCGCATTCGGTTTCACTATCGATCTCACTATCGATATCACAATTGATCTCACAATCGATCCCACATTCGGTATAACTATCAATCTCACTATCGATACCACTATCGAATTCATTCAATCGATGTCACAATCGATGTCACAATCGATCTCACAATCGGTATCACATTCGGTCTCAATATCGATCTCACTATCGATATCACAACCGATCTCACAATCGATCTCAGTATCGAACTCACTATCGAAGTCATTATCGATCTCTCGTTCAGTCTCACTATCGATATCACAATCGATATCACAATCGATCTCACATTCGGTCTCACTATCGATCTCACTATCGAACTCACTATCGATGTCATTATCGATCTCACAATCGGTCGCACTATCGATATCACTATCGATATCACAAACGATCTCACAATCGATCTCACATTCGGTCTCACTACCGAACTCACCATCATCATCAACATCATCATCGGGACACCGACGGGACACCGGCGGGACACCGCGGGCCCCCGGTTGCCCAGAAGGGAGACATTTGGTCCGGCCGCGCCTCAGCCACACGGGACACCAGCGGGACACCGGCGGGACACCGCGGGGCCCCGGCCGCCCGGAAGGGAGACATTTGGTCCGGCCGCGCCTCAGCCACACGGGACACGGGACCGGCGGGACACCGCGGGCCCCGGCCGCCCGGGGAGACATTTGGTCCGGCCGCGCCTCAGCCACAGGAGACTTTCTCTCGCCCGCCCACGCAGCTTCGCCTCGCCCGCACGGCACGCACGAACACGAAACCGAAATCGATTTCCCGGTAGGGGGGCTCTCCGTTCCACTTCGATCTTACACCCTCACCTCCGATATATATATATATATATATATATAATATAATATATATATATATACACACATAATCTTATAACTATATATACAGTATATAAAAATAGAATATATATATATATATGTATGTATGTATATATATATATATATATACATGAGAGAGAGGTACAAACAGAAATGCTCAGAAAGAGCCAACAATAATCAAAACACCGCCCCCACAATATTTGTCGACTGCTTTCAAATATTCCTCCTGTAGGGGGACAGGCCCGACTTAGCACTCGCCTTGGCCCTCGTCGGCCGCCTCGCCCTCGAGCTCGAGGGCCTTCAGGCCGTACATCAGCCCCAGGGCCGCGACGACGCCCACCAGCGCGGCGGCAAGGCTCGCGAAGTGGACGTCCTTGGCCCCGTCCCCCGCCTGCGTGTAGAGGTGCCGCCTCGGCGGAGGCGCACAGCGGTGGGAGCGGAAGGGGGGGACGGCAAGGGGGAAGGGTCAGGTCGGGCATGTCCCCCTACGGGCCGATGTTGCAAGAAAAATCAAGAATAGTAAAAACTACTCCAAGGTAGTCAAGCATGGTACTAAACAAAAATCGTCCCCGGACTATTTGTGGACTATGTTTGCATTTTCCTCCTCTGGAGGGACAGGCCCGACTTGAGGGTAGGGTAAAGAATCAGCTCAAGTAGCTGATTTTCCCGGCGGCTCCCGGCGCCGGGAGGCGCCCATGTATAGAGGAATGAGCCCGGCGGCAGGGCCAAAACCAGCTGCACGCAGCAGAATTCGTAACCCCCCCTTTTCCCTGTCTCCCCCTTTTGTTCGGCCCGAGCAAGCAGAGCTTTTCTCCTGCGATTCGGCGCCGAGCGAGGGGGGGAAGAATGAGAAGGGGAACGCCTTCTCAGAAGGCGGCGGGACTTCGCAGAATCCCTCGCGCCTGCAGAAATTTCCTGCGTCTTCGGGGGCAACTTACGTAGGAAACTTCTCGGAAGGCCCGGGGTCTTCGGAGCCTTCTGAGAAGGCCCTGCCCTTGTCACTTCTCCCCAGGACTCGCCGCCGAGCTATGGTGCAGTCGGGACTGGTTGCAAAGGACATTTGAGAGGGCACGTATATCTCCCCAGGACCCAGGGCGGCCGCAAAACTTGTCTCCTCCTTTCTTTTATGTCTTGTTGCACAAGCTATGTTTTTTCCCTCGCTTTCCCTCGCCTCTGGCCCCCCCCCCCACGACGACTGGACGCGGCTCAGGAACCAAGCCGGGTGGACCCCAGGAGACGCCCCGGGGACTGGCCTGCATGGGAATTCTGTCGGGGGCGGCTCGGGGGGGCGGCCCTCTAACCTTGACCTTCCAGGGTGCTAAAAAAATAACCCTCTAGACCTATAGACCGATTTGGACTGTCTAAAGCCTCGACAGGAGATAAGATGTCGACGTCCTGGTGCTATGTCTGAAGCCCTCCTGGAAGGTCAGGGGAGAGAAAGAGAGAGCGGGAGAGAGAGAGAGGGCAAGGTCGGGGGGCCTTCTCGGGAGGGCCCTGCCACATCCCCTGGTATCCGGCCGCCCGAAGTTTTGCTCCATGCGTGGGTCCCCCGGAGGTCTGGACCACTTCTCCAAGGCCGGCTTTTCGTCCTGGGTCCGTTTGTCGGGGACCTTCTGACCAGGGGCAATCCAGATCCGGGTCAGTCAGGCCTTACATAATCCTGCAAGATCCTGCACCCAAGCCCGGGTCAATGCGAAGGATCCTGCAAGATCCTGCAGGATCCTGCACCCAAGCCCGGGTCGATTCGACCCTGTCCCTGCAGGATCCTGCAAGATCGGGCGCTCTGGCTGACCCCCGTGTACATTGACCCCCGTCTCAAGGCTCCCGAGTTTGTTGACGGTCCCGAGGCCCGGCGAGGGCCCCCTGGAGACTGAAACGGCCAACAACCGGCCGCTCCAATTTTTTCGAAGCGTCGGATCTCTGGGTTTCGGTCGAGCATGTCCTCCTGCAGGTGGATTTTGTAAGAGAAGAGAAACATAGACATAGTAGCAACATGCCCCCCAAAAGTGGCCAACAAATTGTAAAAACATCGTCCGCAGACTTTTGCTGGGGGCTATTTT